CTTTTCTTTCTTATTCTCATTTAAAATGTCTCGTTTTTAATAAATAATTATCTGAATCTTACAACCAAAGTTTTTATGTCATGTAAAATAGAAATCATACATATACCAACAAGACAGTGTACATCACTGTCACAACAGCGTTTGTTTTCATTCAAAGGCTTTATGGCTTTTCCTATAATACCTGGTAGGCCGGTCTCTTTTTTTTTTTTTTTTTTTTTTTTTTTTTTTTATCCCAGTCCAGCCCGGGCACGACACGCAGTGAATTAATCTGAGAAGGTGCATTAAAAAATAAGCGGTGCACATCACAAATTAGCTCGCATAGACACATTAGTTGACACATTAGTTGTGCCGCTTCTTAATGACGGTATCTTAGCTAACAACCCCAACTATCAGATTCAACTTGTAGTTGGCTAAAAATAACTTACCGGTGAGAGGGACGTTGCTAGCTGGCAGTTTTTTCAAGCAATGTTGAAATTTCCAATTTCCGACACTTCAAAAGCTTCAGGAGCTCGCAGCGCAGCATCTGCACCACGGAAATACATGGATACATCCGAAGACTCGAGACAGAATTCACAATGTGTTTTCTGGATTTTCAGGTGTATGGACCAATGTTTTCTTTTCTGATCAAACCAGAAAGCTTTAATGAGCAGCTGGATTTGTCTTGCATTAACTGGCTGGACACAGAGGACATCGAAATGCAGCTGATTGAAGTGAAAACCTCGACTTGAAGTTTGCAGAACTACGAACGCAGCTGGAATCCACAGCTGTGCGTGTTCATGGAGCTTGTATTTTCACCTCCTGGACATCACTACCTGACAAGGTTAACTGTCTTCAGAACATTGCAGGGACATTATTTACAGTATTTGGCTCTACATATCTGTGTGAGCAGATTTTCTCACGACTTTTCTCAGACTCACGAGTCCTCAGGTAACCGTCTGAATGCTGGACACTCGGAGACGTGTGTGTCACATTAACATCCCTGTATTAACAAACATGCCATATTGGCCCAGTTTATTTTTCTTATCATTGTTGTGATGAGACCATAAATAGCATTTGTATTTTCTGTGTTACAGTTCATTTGCTGTTATGGAGTTTTTGTTATGGATAAAAAGTGTCTTTTTTTGTTTCAGAATAGCTGATAACTATTTGCTGATAGCTGCCAAATATAAAATATAATATTTTATATTTGTATTTGTATATTGTATATATGTTTATATTTGTATATATTATATTTGTATATAATATATACAAATATAATTCTATAAAGTTATTCTATATAGTGTGTAACTGTTGATATAGAGTGTTATTAAACCAGGGGATGTTTTGTCAATCTTCCCAAGTTTTACCGAGCTCATGTGAAACTCAGTTTTCTGTACTTGGCTGACAAGAGTGGCACTCTGTGTGAGCTTCTGGTTCTGTAGTTCATTTGCTTCAAGATTTGGCGTATTATGTGTTCTAAGAGCTTTTCTGCATACCTTGGTTGTTACAAGTGGTTATTTGAGTTATTATTGCCTTCTTACCAGCTTGGAGCAGTCTTGTCATTGTCCTTTGACCTCTATCATAAGCAAGGCATTTCCACCCAGAGTACTGCTACACCCTGGATGTTTTCTCTTTTCAGACAAAGCACTATAAACCCTGCAGATGGAGGTGTGGGAAGATCCCAGTAGATCAGCAGTATCTGATCACCAGCAACCATGTCACATTCAAAGTCACTTAAATTCGCTTTCTTCTCACTTTTGATACTCACTTTGATCTCCAGCAGGTCATCTTGAACTTGCCTACATGATTAAAAGTTGCTGCCATGTGGTTTGCTGATCAGATATCTGCCTTAACTGGCAGTGGAACATGTATAGCTAAGGATGTAGCTAATGAGTGTGTTCTTCACTACCATACTGTGCAAATATGTTTAAGGGACTGTTAAAATTCCAGCTGAGCAAAAGTACAGAGATAGCATCAGCAAATACATGAAAGCATTAAGTCAAACACCTATTCACCACATATACAATGTAAAAAATAATGTACTACAGATACTGTATGTACTAAACATCTTAATCAAAGCATTTGGCTAAAGAGGTTTCAAGTTATCATTCTTGATGCACTATTTTAACATTTGTTGAATTATTTATTTAATTGTTTTTCCTTCTAGTGGCAAATGAAGAAGACAGCTCAGCAAGACCTCAGGCCAGTTTTGCACGTAAGTATCACCATTGTTATACTTCATTGTTATTCAACTCATCACATTTCCATCCATCCAAGTTTTTGAGATATTTAAAAAGAGTTCTGACCAACTCAATAAAATGAATATAAGAAAGTGCTGAAAGTCTGTTTTGAAATATTTGCAACCATACTTCATATTTCTTTGTTATTGTTATGACAATAGATTTTTATAGGAAGTCTTTTCTGCAGAGATAATTTAGAGACAGTTTGGCCTGACCAGAAAGTTAAAAAAGGGTTCAAAAGTGTTTTGTAAATAATAGAGACTTAAACTGAAGATATGTAATAATATGTTAGAATATATTTGCAGTAATGGATTTCCTCATGCAAATGTATGGATGTAGGAGTGGTTAATTAGCTGAAAAACCTATAACTGAGCAAAAAAGTTGCCTCCTCTCCTCTTAAGTGAGCGCACTGGCACTAATGACAATCATCCACATGAGGGCAGTATTACAGAGGCGCTGAAATCTGTCACTCCCTTTCAGTGAAACCTACTCCTGCAGCCAATGCTTCAATATCTTTTGTGAAACAACACCTTGAAACAAATTAACGGTTTATTCACTGTATGAAATGACTGTGACACCAGCAGGCTTTTGTTTTATTTAGGCTCAAAGTCCCAGAGTGCTTTGTGGAATGCCATCACTGCAGGGATGGGGATCAAAGGCAAAGAGCAGAAGCCCCCCCTGAATGACCCACGGAGTCCTGAAGAGATTCTGGCCGATGATCTTCCTCCAGCAGATGAACCAGATGCCACAGAGAAAACTGCCATCAGGTTTGCTGCTGTCAGAAATATCCCAGTAATGATGCCAGAACAAGTAATGCTCATTATATGTTAATTATCATGAAATGCATCCTGCGTGGTGCTACAGTGGGACATCAGCAGCCATGTTCATCTTATTATCTTACAATGTGGCAGCATGCACCATCAGGCATTGCTCTGTATTTTGTATTTGTTTTCTGTTTTTGGATCAGAATGAACTTGAGCAGGCGATATTTAAAGTTGAACCTCTTCAGGTTTTTTTTTTTTTTTTTTGTTAATGAAGAAGATAATCTCCTGTCTGACATTTAGCTGATGCACACACATACGCATGCACACTCACATTTACTCTGTTAATTGCTATATAAGGCTGCTGACCTCGAGGGACTTGGGCGTGATTGATTCCACCTTGATAACAAGGACTTCAAACTACCATTAACATAATTTGTTGTCACTTTTAGAATATTGCTTGTCTTTTAACACCTGATTCCAATTAACCTTGATGGCCCTGGAGACTGCAATAAGTCTCAGTTGGCAACAAGTAAGCATTTGTCAGAGGATACTAAAAGTGCACTTTAGTACTTGATAACAAGATTTTAATAGTACAGAAAATAGACAGGGAGTTATGGCCAGATGATTTTCACTAGTTTTCCCAATATTTTGGTCTAGCAAGTCCTCACAGAGATCACAATTTTACAATTTATCGGGTGCTCAGTTTGTGACTTCTCAAATCCCATCCAAGTGTTGTTTTCGGGTTTTCCTTCGTTTCCAGTCTGCAGTAACAAATGCTTCCTCTCCAGCTCTTCTCTATGTTATCTCAAATTACAGTGTCGTTGTTCTCTGCCAGTCTCCCCTGGAACACAGATCCCTTTTCTAGAGTAGAGTGGTGACAAGGAGAAAGTGATTTTCCACTTGACTGGACATAGGCTAGTCCTTTAGTTAAAACCTATAGCTCAGATTAAAAAAGAAAACACTGGGGCAGCTGAAAGCACTCCTACCTTCCATAGAGGAAACAGTTCATTTGTCATTTAGCCATAGCTTTAGCCTCAGTCAGAGTGCGGGAACAATTGCCAAGCATGAGGCTGTTCATCCTTGGCTGAAGATGAACAGTTTGCCTATGTTTTTCAAGAACTGGCAAGGGAATGATTCTTTTCAATAGCGCTAACAGTTTCAAACAAATAAAATATGCTAGGAATTACTCCAGTCTTTTTTTTGTTTTTTTTACTAAAATGTGTTGGCTGGTGAAATAGTGATAGCAGGTGGTGAATGTTAGCTGTGGAAAAGGGCAATGTTATGCTTACAATGATTTATACTGTTCAATTATTACCTTTGTCCTGATCCTACTGAAAGTCAGGGGACGTCTTCGGCCATGTCAGCTGTGGTTAATACAGGCCAAAACTGCAGGGAGTCACAGGGATGTACATCTTAATGACAACTAGCCAGATTATGGCACAGGGTGATTAAATGACACTGGAACTAGCAGTAATCCATGGAATGATGTAACTACAGTGTCACCTCCGAGGCCGGTTCTGGCCGATATCCTCCGGGTGATGATAATTAGATTTATTGGAGAATAGAGCAAGATCACATGATGTTTAGCAGGAAGGATTGGAGAGCCTTAAAACATATTGACTGTCATAAACTGGACTTAGTTGAATATAATTAAATTGTTTTCTAGTCAATCCCGCAGTTACTTGATTACCTGATTTTCTTTTTCAATCTGAAAGGTCGCCTGGTGCTTACGTGGCTGCTGTTGCAACTGGTTTAGGATTGCAGTTTACACACAAACACACACACACACGCACACAAACTGGGAGGACTAAAACACAATATGGAGCCATTAGTATATAAACACACGGTGACTCATCTGCTCGGCTGGTGCCACGCTGTTTCTTCTGTTCATTATGGAAACCATATTCTTTTAAAGCACTGGCTACCAATTGAATAGATAGTAGTTTGCATTCATGCAGAGGGGGAAACCTGTGATTTTTATGCAGAATCAAATTGTTTTGTCTTTTTTTTTTTTTTTTTTTTTTGTTGATCCTGCAGAATTTGCCATGTCAGAAGATGATAGATTGCCATTGCATTCATTTTCCTAATTGCTGGAACTTGATATATGCAACACAAACACGATATTAGTGTGCAGGAGTTTCTGAACCATCATTTTGATCAGCACTTACTCTCTATCTGAATCAATTGTTTCTTTAATTGACTTTTTTTTCTTTTCAAAATTACTGCTTTGAAAGCCAAATCTTTGAAGAGGTATGATACAAAAAAGCCATTAGGATTAGTTTGTTATCGTCCCATAGGAGGAAGAGTGAAAGATTTTGGGAAGAGGTTGTTATTCATTAGCTAGAATTGCCTTTTTATTAGAAACTAATTTCCATTATATTCCAATCTTATTACACTAATGGTCCTTTGAGATTTAGTGCTAGATTTATAACTGTGCTTTTTTTTTCTGAACCCCCTTTTTTGACAGTCCTTATGGATAGGTAGTGACTGATAGGAATGCACTAAAAATTCATGTCAAGTCTATGTTTCACCAAATGAAGGCACTTTCAAAAACAGCAGAAAAAAAAGATAAATAGAGGGTAGTGAAAACGATTACAAGGGTGGCTAGATGCTTACCAAATGATGAGAAAAACAGAATCAGCACCGACAAACATTCAATAAATGTACACATGCAGCCAAAATCTGGACAGACACTCTTTTGAGGTCCTCAGTTGGATTTGGCAACTGCTTAATTGGATGCTGCTCGCTGCTGTGAACATTGCACAGTTGATTAAGGTGACTGTCTTCATCGTGCCATCCAACAGTTTCTGAGGCTGACCCTTCCACTGGCTGCAGCCGCAGATTCGCAGCCCCCCGCTGACATCTTCCCCGCAGCAACAAGCTCCATCACTAGCCTTACTAGCGGGTTAATGAGGCTCTGCTGGGAAAAGTCACTGCTGCGTAGCACATATTTCTTGATATTATACAGCTTGATATGGAGTATAGTTTTATGTGTAGCAGGGAGAAAAGTCAAACTTTAAAATATGCAGAACGCAGTGTCGTCCAAAGTCTGAGTCTTTACTGTCTACAGCCGTTTTCTTTCTTCTTACATATAGATCAGTAGATGCATTAGGGTGACTTGCAGGAGTAGTCATAATGTATTATTTTTAGAAAATTCAAATGTTAATGGGATAGAAAGATACTGCATTTTACTTTAGGACGAAATAGGTGTATAAATCCCCAAAATAAAGTTAACCAAGTTTTTTAAATTATTTGCTTTTGCACAATAAGGGTAAAAATGTGTGTCTGCATTGCCATCCACTGTAGTAATTAAATAAAATGACATTTGAAAGTAGACTAAAAATTCCACAGAGACAATTTCTATGATTCTGCCCATTCCCTTACCTCATTCCCTTTGACCTCACTCAGTAATAGTGTCTTCTCTCTGCTCGCATAACAGCTTTTAAATACACTGTGCATCACCCATTACATGAGTACTCCTCTCTTTAGGCTCTGCCACTGCTTTACATCAATATTCTTGCTGGATTAATGTATTAATAGGATCAGAGCCTTTACAGACTGGAAGGCACTAAGGGGGCCAGTGAAGTATTTTGTCCATGTAGCATAAATTTCCTGCAGCATTTGTCACTTTAAGCTGTTATTTACAGTAAGTGCAACATTTCCTTAGCTTTATCCCTGTGCAGTAAATCACCATCTATCATAGACTTTTTAAGGGAATATTAGAGGCATAACAACAGAGGTGTGATGGGGGGGAAAGAACCACAAATATCGACAAGATTGCCTGCCCTCATAAAAACTTTAAAACTTTAATTTAAATTATTTTTAAAGCATTAATTTGGATTTTATTATATAGTAACCATCATTTTACCCCTGTCTGACAATAATGTTATCCACCATAAGTTTCTTTCACTGCTTGAGGTTTATGGAAGCTATTTTAATTTTTAGATAAATACCAAAATGCTTTACATGACAACTAGAAAAAAACCCATTAATAGAATTGTTTCAGAGACATTTCATGGTACATAATAAATAAGAGATAATAATTTTTAAAGACTGACATTCATAAAATTATAGTGTTGTGCAAAAGTCCCACATTTCTCTATATTTTGCTTCAAAGGAGCCAGAATCCAAGATTCTTCCAAGGTTTCTTTTGGACATTTTTCTGCTGTTTAATTTATTTTCAGTCCAGTCTTTGCACTTCACCATTTTTTTAGAATATCTTGGTTTGTTAGATCACTTAATGTTGATCTATGAATGGACTGGCCTCCCTAGAGCCTGAACATCCCACTGTTAAGTAGTGGAGTAGCAATAAGCAAAACATGTTTAAATTGAATGAGTTTAAGAAATACTTTTTGTGTTTTTGAAAATGACTGAAATTACCTAAAAATAGTCAATAGTATTTTTAGTACAAGTCTGGAGGGATCTGCACTTGTAAGCTACATTTAGCTCTCTGAGAGGTTAAACAGTCTGTATTTAGTTTGTAGTTGTCTCTCAAACAGATTAATGCCCTGTTAACCCCTCCTGTTACCATAGTTATCTACAACTAATGAGCTTACACAACCTGCTGTTCTCTGTCTGTTCAGTGTGGATGGCAAATAAATAAGGGCTACTGAGGACAAGCTGAGAATTTAGCAAGTCACCGTAACAGAATTTCTGATGTGAAATTTTTAAAATGGATTTTCCCAGACACTTTCAAATCCTCTTGTAAACACCTTAAATAATATGTATGTGTAACAAAAAATGTTAATTACTATTATGCAATTTACCACTGAAGGCTATTGTTATGCAGAGTATCAAGAGAGAGAGATTCAAGAGTCATCCTCTGGGACCATGAATAGCTGTACAAAAAAGGCCCAAAGAGTGAATAGAATGACACGACAGCAGAAAAGTTTTTTGCCCCAGTTAGATCCTTTAGAGGGGCACAAAAGCCCCCAGATTAAGCTGCCGTAATCAGCTGGACTTTTTCAACCATACATACGGAAGTGAAGGCTTGTCCTTGTGTAAACTGCTTTTACATTATGCGAGCTTAACCACATTAATCCTTAACCCTGGGTTTCTCTTCAGATGTTCCATCACCTCTGACTTATCTGAATCAGTCGTGGGGATGGAGAAATAGCGAATTTCTTGTCTGAAGTAATTCTCAACCTCCATCATTTTGCAAATAAATATAGCTTTACAGCTGGGTGCCCTCAATTTCTCCCACCCATCTCTGTATCTACAGTACTTCCAATACAAAACCAGAAATGAAGCAGTGATGCGTAATCATATTTTGTGATTCATGATCTCTACTAAAACGTGGTCATTACTGCAAAGGCGCCTGCTATTTTGATGCATAGATATCCTTATCGACTCTCCCAGAAATTTAAATGAGATTTGAATTTTTCATGTACCGCCAAATGGCCAGAGCTGTTAATGTCTTGATTTCGATGTGTGAGCTTTAAGAAGACTCAAGCACTGTGACAAGGAAGCTGTAGCAGAGTGTAATATTCAGCAGATCCTTGCAAATAATTCATTTTTGTAAAACAGGATTAATTGGAATTCCTTTTTTTGGCGAACAGCTTTTGTAATTGTAATTATCAGGGACTTTCAATATTTAGTTTCATTATGTGAAGGACCATCATCGCTTTTTTGCTTTTGTTGGTTCATCATATTTGTTTTACCCTGTTACACTCGACACATTTTGCTTGTTATGTGTGTTTGTGCATCTTTGCTCACCCTGTTAAATACTCTCAATTTTATAGTCAAATTCGCTGGCAACAGTGGCACAGAGGATGACTCAGCAGCAAGCAAAAGAATTCCTAATACTTCATCACATACTCATCGTTGTTGTATCGCGTTCTCCTGCAATTCAGTGGCACAAACACGGCACATTACTACAGTGCTTTTTTGCTGGAAGGTGTTTCATTCATCAGGTGGCAATGTAATTAAAGTGTTGTCTGAGATTCTTTTGGTGCAAAGGCTGGAGGCTACTTAACCAGGCTGCATTCTTTATCATAGCATTTCATAAATCACTGAGCGTTTTTCTAGTCAGTGTGAGTTGCTATAAATATTTTCTCCTTAAACCTCTAGTAACGGTAAAACAATTTGTCAATAATTAACCAAAGCTACAACGAGTTGTCAGGTAATTAAATGTGACTGAGCGATCCAAAGATAGTTTATGCCAAAGGGGGGTGAATTGTTATAAACATCTCTCGGAGATAATTAAAGATGATTCAATGCTTTCTTGTTTACTTCCCATGCCTACATTTATTGCTAGTGCTTGAAACAGTCTGTCGTTTATGTTCTAAGATCAGGTTTGGGTCTGCCGTATGTCTAACCTTAAACAAATGTTGTAGGTAGCCTATCCATCAAATTGTGGGCACCCTTGACATGAATTAGTTTGTACGATATGGCATCTAACTGTGTCTGAAGGAGAAAGTGTTATAGCAGCTCTGAACAGCCACATTTCAAGGTACCCTGAAAGGCTGGAAAGCACTTTCGACCTGTTTCCTCAATCGTATTCATATTGTTGGACTTTTTTACATATAAAACTGAGAGTAGTTACAGGAGACTAATTTGCCAAATGACTGTGTGAGAAAAGGCTGCACATCTTGCCCTTCACTGCATAAAGTGGATGTTGATTCTGAGATTTTATTGCATTATTGAAAAGGTGTAGGGGGTTGAATGTTCAGACACCTTAACCATGGTTTGATTGCTATCAGTACAATATTTCCAGCAGTTTCCATGTACAGCTATCATGGAATGCTATAATAATAGTAATGATAGCTGTAATTCTTACCCAAATTGTCCACAATTGTCAAAATTGTTCTACTGAGTGTGTTTTAAATGGAAATTTGACCCTTAGCAAGGGTCCACACATTTTCTGATTTTCACAAGCTTCTCACCAAGAATCACAGATTTATTTGCCTTCTTGGCAACACACTTGATTCTTGGGTGCAGTGACTGCTGCACAGTTTAAATTGACCAGCTCCTTGAAATCATCGTTTCTGATGGAATCTTTGTGTTCCCGGTGCAGTATGACACCGCACATACAGACTACACGGTGCATACGATCCCTGGGGTGCAAATCTGTGAACCAGAAGCAGTCACTAGTGAAGTTGTCATTGTAGTTTCTGCTCAGGTTAACCTGCCATCTCTGGATGTGGCTTGATATCTCCTGGGGGCAGCATACCCTCACAGACAAGTAGAAAAATTGTTACAAAGAATGGTGTGAAGAAAGGCAGCCAGAAAAGGAAAGAATCTGAAAGGAAAGACAAAACAGATGCATAAACGCATCTTTAAAGAGGACATCAGCAGGTTTGTGGCACTCAGGCAAACCTCTTTTCTGTCCTCATGGAGGACGCATCTCACCAGATGAAAGAAAGAGCCCCTTTGAGGTGGCGCCCCGGCATTATCCCTACATCCTGCATCAAGTAATTGAAAGACCTTAGAGTATGGTAAGGGGCTCAGGGGAGCAGGTAAGGGGGGTGAGTCATCCTAGCAATCTTCCAGTTGGACTTGGAAAAGGATAAATAAACGAAACCTAAGAAAATAACTAATATGCTTCACTAGTTGTTAAGCAAGCACAAAAAGTTTAGTATGCTTGTGTAGAATATATTTCCAGCACACAATGCACCATGCACGATGCAGGTTTAAAATAGACTATCCAGCACTGAGGACTTACTACTTTGTAGATAATTACAGGCAAAGCTTTTTATTTTATACGAGGATACCACACTATATGCAAGTCTGTGTAGAATGATGGGTATGAGTCTTATAAAGTTGTGACAGTATTATACTTATTGCTGGCTTAGCTGACATTTCTGCCCACAAGGGCTTGGCAGTGAGCACTGCGGTGTTTAGATACTGTAGAGTGTTTTGTTAGAGAAAGCAAGGAAAATAAACAAAGGGAATAATATTCCATGTTTTAAATTGCTCCATTTTTAGGGGGCTGAATGTGGGGCGGTCCTGAATGTGCTCGATGGATCAAAGTAATCTCTGTCAAATCAGTGTCAGCACACTCTCTGCATGCTATTTAATCCCTCTTGGCATGGCATCTAATATGTTGCACTGAACATGCATTATCTACATTTCAGCTGTCATAAAGCTGCCACATTTTTAGTGAATGAGTTAAATGTTGAGCGACTGCATTTGTAAATTAGATGCTTAAAAAAAGATAATGCTGTGTCACTGTTTTGACATTTCAAAAGAAAATGTCCTCTTGCAAGTATTTTTCTTTTTTTTAAACCAGCAAATTCTACACAGGAATTCACCGCACTTGCGCTTTCGTCTTCTCCTAAAGGCTTTTTTCCTTTTCCTCATGTCTGTCCCCACTCATTTTTTCTTCCTCACTCCCTCCAGTTTTCCAGTAGATGAAACAGAACATGGTTTCTCATTATCAGCCAGACTCCTCCCTCTCTTTGACTGGTGCTCTTTTCCCCTCCCTCCCTCATGTGCGGAGGGCTCGGCAGTGAGCGTTAATCCCGGATTGCGCTGCCCTGCCGTCTGCATCCCGTTGTTGCTGGGAGAGCATGGCACGGTTCCAGGACCCCTGCGCTGACACGACAGAGAAGTGAATGAGTAACAGAGAAAGAGAGGGAGAGAGGAAAGAGGTACAGTTGGACTGCTTCATGACTACCACAGCTGCTTGAGTGTTATTTAGTTTCAGTCACACACTCTCTATCACATAACTAGAGGGAAAAGAGAGAAACAGGAGGGATGGCAGCCAGTTTGTCGCAGCTGTGGGAACTACTGTAAGAGAGGAAACCTCGGTCACATCCCGGGTTCCAACACATCGCAGCACTTCTCTTCGTTGCGTTGCACCTTCCTCACTGATCACATTTGACAGGGATTAAACTTTTTTTTGATCTGTTGCTGGCAAATCTGTAACTCCGTCAGACATGGAGTCTCCCACCAAAGAGATTGAGGAGTTTGAAAGCACGGCCCTGAAGTACCTCCAGCCAGAACAGATAGAGAAGATTTGGCTCCGGCTCCGGGGATTGTGAGTATATCCACTTTTATTCTTTTCAACAAGTGTGTGAAGCAGCACTGTGCATGCTTCAGCGTGTTTGAATGAGGCATTTGATGTTTAGAAGTGAGTTGATCTGCAATCGTGTGAATTATTCACACATTTTGACAAAAAAAAGAGGCGCAGTTTCTGTCGCCTTTATTATGGTTATTATAAAAGTGTGACCATCACACTCATTTCTTAGTTTCAGTTGTGTTGTGTGTATGTCAATTTATGGGAGACAGAACCCAGAGTGAAAATGTAAAATAGAAAGAAAAACAGAGAGGGAGCGTGTGTATGTAATTACTCAGGCCAAACATAACCATACATTTCCAAATGGTTTGTTTGCCTAACTGAACAGGAAGGAAGAAGAACATCGGAGCTCGAGTGTTGCTCACTCTTGTGCAAGAAAATCTTTACTCTCCTTAACTTTTCATTATGTTTTCACTGTCTCATCAGATGTGCAATAAACACCTGCTGCCCATGCAGACTTGTGCAGCATGTCTGTACATTTAAACCTCAGTGGCTAAAAGAGTGTATTTTTCAGATACTGAGGTGTGTCATGGGGTTCATTCTTTTTTTCTTTTAACATTTGCTGCTGGTTTCATTAAAGATTCTTACTTACTTTGTCACATTCACCACCAATCAACACCTCTATGACCTTTCTCCCTGAGAGGAAAGCACTTTATATGTAAGTTGAAGTGTGAAATGTTCTTTTATCCATTTTCAGTTCACATCATTCCTACTCAGCAGGGGGAGGAGACAGCACTGTTGCTAGGAGGGTTGGGCTATGAAGGATATCTTTAATGCTGCTGCTCAAGGTCTCAATGAAATACATTTCCCTCCTGCACATAAAGGCAGCAGTTAGAATTCCTGTAACTCTAATACCAAATATTTTAGTTACTTTTTATTTGCCAGTATTTAATTTTATAGCTCCGTGAGTATGCATTGTTTATCTCTCCTGTGTTAAAAGCTTGATGTTCCACCACCATCCTCTGCCACATTTAGTTTCCTTTGATGACTTCATTGTCTCTTCAATTTGCTCACCGTCATAACCATCTGTCTTTTTGGATAATTGATGGATAGTGAGTCAGATGAATGTAACGGGAGCTCAAGCCTTTCCCCCCCCCTTCCTTCTTTTTCTTTTTCTTTTTTTAAAGGGCTACACAGCAGTTGGCTGGGTGCTCTGAGGGCTCCTGTAGTGTGTCAGAGATCACATTAGCCTTTAATCTCACAAAAAGCCTCTGTCTAAAAAGAGTGAGCCCCCAACTGACAGGCAGCACCCACAGATGTTGACACAGACTCACAACATAAACTTGCAGAGTATATTTTCTGTGCTTAATAGGGATTAGATAACATGTTGCAGCATTGAGGTGTTTGTGACTGCGAAAGGATGACTGTGCATGTGTTCGAGTGGGTGATATAGATTGTGGACATGTTTGAGTCCACTTGGGGATATTTACTATAGGTGCTGCTAGCTTACCCTAGATTTGTTTGTCAGCTGTGTGATTTGTATGTGAGTTTGCTGGTTGACACAGCACAGTTTCTGGCACAGTGTACTCCACAGAGTGTACCAAACATGTGTGGATTGACAGAGCATATGTTTTGGACAGTTATCTCTATGCTCAGTCTTCAATGATGAGGAGTACACCATGGTCACCAGCCTGTAACAGATGGCCCTTGTTTTTATATGTAATATATCAGTGAGTGGATTCCAGTGTATTTGTGTTAATAAATTAGCTTACTTAGGCAGACCTGATCTGTCTCCCACTGATTAATAGAAATGAATTATTTAATTAGTGGGTAAACAATTCATAAAAAAGTGATTGCTTGAGGAGAGGGCAGTGTAAGGAAGTCCCAAGAATCAAGGTGGCTGACTGCTTTACCACATCTGATCCACAAGGCTCTAACTAAAATAAAATTATGATAATCATAGCAATCCAATAAGTCATAAACAGTAACATAGATCCCAAGTACATGTAAGAAAATGTGCACTTTACCTGAAGTGCACTGGAGCACACTGGAGTGCACTGAATAAGCCCCTAAAATGGTTTTGCAGGTGCTGTCCACAGATCATTGCTTTCTCCTCATCTTCCTTTCTGACTGATTTTTCTCCAGTTTTTTGTTTTTGCTAGTATCTGTCACTACTGGTAGCACACACAGTACCTGGAGCTCATTCAAAATACATAAGTCGTCAATAGTCTTACTTCTCCAGGATATCACATCCATATATGCTGTCATGTTGGTGTTGTCCTGAAAGTTTACTTTGTCTCTCAGCGGAGTCTTAAAAGTGTTGAGGAGGCACCAGGAGATGGGCTATTTAAAAAAGTGTATCTGCTAGTTTGTGCAAAGAGGTTAAGGAGGTCTCCTGAAATAACCCTTCAAAATGACCTGAAGGCACTAGCTCTTGTGTTTCTGAAAAGATGGTGAGAAACTGACTCCTTCAGTCGGACCTCTGATCACAGCCCATCAGAAATGTGCACATGAGTAGCCCACTTGAGAAAGGGCAGTGCTCCTCCTGTTATACGAAGTCACCAATACCAGCCCTGGTGCTGGGTCGATGCACTTCTAAGCCTTGTCCAGCTGTCCTTCAGTAAATCACAATTAGTGCTTTTTTCAATGGCTTGCAAGAAGGTTTGCTGGACCTGTACAATTTGAATGGGATGCAGGCATTATCTCGTGCTACTAGTAGTGACAAGGACACCCACCCAAAACAAAAACAAGAAAAAAAGCAGAGCAATAATCTTTGATCATTACCTGAAAAACCATCCCTAGTTTTTGGGTTGTCTTGTTGATGCCTTTCCAGACACTTGGGTTTGCACCAAAGCAAGTGAAATTGATTCACAATGGTTTAACCTTTAAGTACATAAATAGAAAATTTATTTTATGTGCAAACTGAAATGGAATTTCGCTTCAGAACTTTTTGGTAACCACAAATTATTAAATCTGTCCAAAAACATTGCAATATTTACCAGAACTTCCTCAGCTCTAGCTCTGCGCCTGCTATAAAACATGACATTCATTCTTATCCATTTCTTATGATGATATAAGATAGGCCAATACGTCGACTAACTAAATGAATAACAATATATAATCATAGACAAAAGACAAAAATTATGTGCATAAGATATAATTGGTATATGGTAATATCATGACAAATAGTTGTGTGGACTTATACTGTATTAACTAAAAAAGCTACAAATAAACTATAAAGTATAAAATAAACTATAAAATACTTTATAACTAATGATATAGTAACAGAAAAGCAGAAGATATTTCTTTTTTAAAAAAAGTATATTTTCATATGAGGACAAGGCTTTATTTTAAAGAACAGCACAATAAAGTCACCATTGCTTAAGAAAACACAAATGATACAAATTACGTATATGGATAAAACGAATCAAAATGTTATGAGTCCATATGAGGGCAGAGAGTCTCAGGAGATTAAAATATCAGCACCTCGCCATATAACTCTTTTGGCAAGATGTACAGGCCAGACAATGAGGTAAAAGTGTCATGAATTCTAATTTGAGCATTCCGATTGAATCTCTGTCTTATTTAGGACCACATTCAGTGTAAATATCTATCCCTCCATGCACTTTCTTCTGTTTATACGGGGGCAGGAGCCTAAGCAGAGAAGCCCCAAACTCCCTATCCCTGACCACCTCCTCCAGCTTGTCCGAGGGAAAACCAAGCAGTCCCAGGGTGGTCGAGAGATATAATCTCTACAGCGACTCCTGGGTCTTCCCGGTGGGACATTCCCAAAACACCAACCCCAAGAGGCATCCTTGTCAGATGCCTGAAACACCTCAACTGGCTCCTTTTGATGCGGCAGCACTCTGAGCCTTTTCCAAATGGCTGAACTTCTCACCCTATCTCTAAGAGAGAGGCCAGCCACCCTTCGAAGAAAGCTCTTTTACCTATTTCTGTATCCTCAATCCTGTTCTTTTGGTCACTGCCTGAAGCTTGTGACCATAGGTGTGGTTAGGGATGTAGATTGACAGGTAAATTGAATGCTTCACTTTTACGCTCGGCTCTCTCTTCACCACAACGGACCAGTACAGCATCCGCATCACTGCAGCCGCAGCACCAATCTGTCAATTGACCTCCCACTCCCCTCTCCACCCACTCGTAACCCTTAGAAGTCCTCTACTTGGGTTAGTAACACCGGTACTGCAAACTGTTCCAGTGCGAGCTGGAGGACACCACCTGATGAAGCAAACAGAACCACATAATCTGCCACCACATCAAAGCGGTTGTGGGATTCATCGGGAAACTAGCGGATGATACCGTGGAGACAAAGACTATCACAACGTTTCCCAACCAGAAGCCGTGGGTGGATAAAA